ATAAATTTTTGTTTTACTTCCGCTGCACAAACCCTAGAATCGATCTCTTAGGAATTAGATTCGCTCATGAGATCCCAGGAATCCCAACACAAATGTCAAGGGGTACGCCACGTAAACGCAGACGAAGCCGTAGCAGCGGAGGACGCAGGCGAGGCGGCGGTGGCGTGAAGGTGATAGTTCCAAAACCTGTTGGTTGGCAATGACGAGTGGATGTGATATTTAAGAAGGTGCATGGATCTATTAGCTTTAATTGTTCGCTTTTATTTCTAAGATTTGGGGTGTCATGTTTATGTTACGTGTTGTCGTGTCAGGTTTCCTTTTCTAATAAATTAAATGGCACTTCTCCTAATCCTTTTTTTAATCATTCGTTATAGCATATAAAAGGGATTTTGGGTGTAATATCATTTTCCTAATCATTGACCCAAGAAACTGGACTCTGGCGTACGCCTTGGACTTCAATTCTTTGAACAAACTAATCTCTTTTGGTTAGGAGTCATTTTCTGCATCCACCTTATTATTATCAATTTCATAATATTCTCTTATTAGTTTCCTTTGCTGAAAATATCACAACATCGCCAATCCCCAATTTCTCACGAATTTAAAAAAAAAATTACATAGAAGAATTAAATTACGGAATCAAAACCCAAACTAGAATATACTTTGAAGGAATATCACAAATGCTTACTTGCTCCGACAAATATATTCGAGATAAAACCATTATCAAATGCTATTTCCAATTTTTGTATTTGTCGGAGAAACCCATTTGCTCTAATAATCATTATGTTGTAGCTAACGTTATTAAATAATTTAAGTCTCTAACCATCACCGACGCACGGGGATGCGATGCAAAATTTTATGTTACGTTTTTTTGGTCAGTTGTCGTAATTGAAATAACAAACGCTCTACCTAAACTATTTAATATAAAAAAATACATTTTTTACTTGAAAATTCTGACACGTTACATAAAAAAATCTAAGCAGAAGAGAGAACACTTTTAAAAAAGGAACAAAATAACAATGCGCTTGCGGTCGCGTGTGACGATGACGAACGAGGGCGAGGGCGAGGGCGAGGGCGAGCTTTGAAAGACTTTAAAATGTGTTTTTGGCAATAATAAATCAGCCAAGGGGCCGAACACGAAATGGCTGTTCGATTCTCTCATTTGACTGCACTATAAAGAAGCCCGTTTCCGGCCCCCCGGTCTCCCGCACACACGCTTGCGCCTTCTCTCTTTCCC